TTTTTTTAAGAGATGGAGTCAGTTGCCTTAAAGAATATTTATAATTGAATATAATTCTGCTTCCTTGATATTCGTAATGGGCAGTACTGGGATCATACTAGGTCCGTTCCTGAGTCAGAACAGGTGCATATGGTCCTTACTTAGCTTTCTTTTAGTATAAGACAGTGATCTAAAGTCTGCACATGCTGCAAGATGATTGTCATGAAGAGTTAGTTTACCTAACTGTAAAGCTGGGCTTGAAGTTGCTGCCTCCCTGCACAAAGACAACAATCACCCCTGCTGATTTGAATGTGGCTGGCTCTCCAGTCCTGCCAAGAACTTAGTCCCGTGCATCAGGCTTATGAAAACGCTAGCCCATAACCCACTCCAGGGCTTTTTCCTGTTTCATGAGGAATCACCCAAATTGTGAAAATTCAAGGCAGTTCTTGTTTCACTTCTAAGGCCATGACAGAACTAATTTGAAGCCCTGCTTTAAAGGGAAGTAGGAGTTGCCCATAAGTTGGTCATTCATAACCCAGGACTGCATATATGTATGCAATCCAGGATTTCCCAACAGTAACACCATGGGCATCTAATCCTTATGTCCTATGCATTGTGGGGTGTCCAGCAGCATTCCTGCCCTCTAAGATGTGAGAACCAAAAATGGCTCTAGACACTGCCAGCTGTCTCTGAGGAGACAAGATCATCTCTAGCCGAGAACCACAAATCTTTTCCTTCTCTCTCTCCAATCTCTCTGTCTCTGTGTCTTTGTCTCTCTCTCTGCTAGTCCCACATCTGTGAAACAAACTACATTTATTAAACATTTATTTTCCAAAGCTGGACTTCTGAATAGCCCAAATTAGCCAAAACAGCCACACCTAGGAAGCAGAAGACATTATACTTACACAAAGAAACCTCTGAGATATTAGTTGGCTATAGTCATACAGGTAGTCCCCAGGGTACAAACAAGATAGGTTTCTAACTCTCATCTTTTAGAATTTGTAGGTAAGTCAAATCAAGTACTTATAGTTCTTAATTAACTGTAGTTCAAGGATTAGCCATGGTGGCATAATGGGTTGTGCACTGGGTTGCTAACCACAATGTCAGCAGTTTAAACCCACCAGCTGCTTTATGTAAGTAAGATGAAGCTATCTGCCCCTGTAAAAGTGTTTAATCGTGGAGCCCTTAGGGAACAGTTCTGTCCCATACAGTCACTGTGAATTGGAACTGACTCAATTGGCAGTGGGTTTGGTTTTGGTGCAAGAAAACACTTGGAACTTTTCACCGATTTGAAAGCTGCATATAAGTGAAGGTGATTATGATGGAGTTGTCAGTAGGAGGTGGTCCAGTCTGTTTCAACGTGAGGGAAGATTTACATAAAGGGCACATAGAAGTGTCCATAAATTGTATGTTCACAACTGGAGGATTGCCTGTGCAGCTTCTTACAGAATTAGATGATATAAAAGGGAACACAGGCTACCAGGAGTTCTGGTTGTGTCCTGTGTAGGACACAGGAAGTAGGTGGGAGTCACACTTTTCATGTTGTGGCCTTATGCCATCAGGGTACCAAGAATGTTTGACCTGTGTTTCTCCCGGTCCTCCAGCTGCAAGAGCATCAAGAAGAAATCGAAGGAATGATGAATGCCCTCTTCAGGGGTGTCTTTGTACATCGGTACCGGTGAGTTAATGAATCTCTACACAATTGAAGCTGCTGCTGCTTGGCTGTAGAGTCTTTCAGAAGCGACAAGGCCACCCCCTCCTAACCCTGAGTTGTGTGGTTAGTCCCAGAATTAATGTACCTGGAGCCACAACTCAAAACAACGCTTTTTAAAATTAATAAGGTTTAGTCTATCCCCCACTCACAAAGACTCTTTTAAGCGCTTAAGGAAAGAAAGTAAGATAAGTGTTCTCCAGTTTTGCCTGAGATCTGCTCCCATTTTTCTTGGGTTGGAGACTTGGAAAAACAGAACCAAAGACTTTGCCGAGGGAAGCAGGCACTTTGGCAACCCTTCTGCTGGCCCTGCTGCAGTTTCATGTGCTGAGAACAAGGGAGGGTTATACTTGAACTCCTGAAAGAACTCGCCAAGTTACATTTTAAACAGACATCTGTACTTGTTTCTCACTTTTGCTTAGATTTTAGCCTAGTTTTACTAAACCATTTGACTGGTTTTCCTTTTCTTTTAAAAACTTATCATTGTGAATGAGAGCGGTATTTACATGCTCTATCATCATTTTTGCATTTAACAACTTATCAAACCTCCCAATGGCTTGCTCTGTCCTTCACCCTTTTCCCCATCTCCCTCTTAAAGGAAATCTTCTCCATTACCCAAGTCAACACGTATCTACCCTCTAACCCATAGGTTCCAAAACTGATTTGGTCTACCATCCCCTTTTCAGGAAAAAAAAAAAATTTACTCAGTGCCCTTCTGGTGATTAAGAAATGTTGTGCTATAGCCCATAATCGGGATCTAGCATGGATATCTGCTTTCACAGTGCTCTTATCATTCCAGCACTCCCAAGGGGCCAGAAGCACCCATTTGGGGAAACACTGCTCTAGCCTTTTACTTCCCTTTCCTTCCCTTCCTCTCCCACCCTAGTAACCATCGAAGTCTTTTTTAAAAAAATCATTTTATTGGGGGCTCATACAACTCTTAACACAATTCATCCATCCATCCATTGTATGTCAAGCACATTTGTTGCCCTCATCATTCTCAAAACATTGGCTTTCTACTTAAGCCCTTGGTATCAGCTCATCATTTTCCCCCTCCTTCCCCGCTCTCCTCTCCCTCATGAACC